AAATATATATATATATATATATATATATTTCAGTTTCAGATAGACGTGCACTGTAAACCCAGATTTTGTTTGTATTTCAAGAGGCTGTGTTCATTGTACTTAGAAGCAGAGGCGTAGCCAGAAATTTTTTTATAAGGGTGGCCAGGCAGTAACCAATGTACACTGAGGGGTGGCCCATGGCCCAAAGTAACATAATGAGAGAAGAACGACTCTGAATGAAAGCAACCACGGAGACAGTTAGTTTAGTTTAAGGAAAAGTTTATTAAAACAAAGAACAGAAAATGGAGTCTGGCAGGATCTTCCTGGTACAGCCTAGGGAAAAGATTGGGTGATGGTAAACAACTGATCTGAGGTGGAGGGAAGGTGGGGGATGCTTGAGGTTGTATTGAGCTTGGAAGGATTGTGTCCTGGGTCCCTGAGCAACTGACTCTCTACCCTTCCGGTGATGGTTTGTAGGAGGGTGGACAGGCAGGTGGGCTCCTGGAGGAGGGCTGCGGCAAACTGGCTTGGTTGGTTGCTAGGAGGGAAAAAACAGAGACACAGGATTAGATCTGGTTTGAATACAAATCTAGGAGAAAGCTGGTCGGTCATATACCACGCTGGTAGCGAGAAAGAACTGACGCCCTCCTCCTGGTCCCAGCTCCTTAAGCAGGCTCCAAAATTAACAGAGATGAGCTGCACCTGCACATCACACCCTGCAGAGAAGAGAGAGAGACAGACACCAGACCTGCAGTATAACACAAAGTGGAAAGGCACCAGAACCTCAGGGTCAATCTACACTGTTCCAACAGGAAAATTAATGACCAAAACATCTAAATCAACTATACTTTCCTACAGCCTTCGCTAACAAATAGACGCATATATTTAAACATCTGTCATTTCTAGATAAGAGGTATAGTGGATAAAACTCTCTTACTTTTGAGTTCTGGGACGTAAATCTTTTCAATTGTCATTACTTACCTACTTTTATCCATAAACAGTCTGCATAAAATTGATATTTACAAGCGATATCAACATAAATTTATCATTTGATAAGTTTTTATTAAAATTGCTATTTATTTATGATTTCACTGAAGACTCCTAGACGACTTGCAGAGACAACATTTTCTCTTTACCTCAAATAACACAAAATCTTGTTCTGAAAAGAGCATGAATTCTATTTTTATCATCTTTGATTTTAGTATATTGATGTGTATAATTAACCAAAAAAATAAATAAAATGTTTTGAATATTCCACTTGAGCGTATTACTGCTGCCACCATTTGTATTAGAGGGGAACAATGGTAGGGGTGGTCACAGAGGTGGCCAATGGTTGGCTAAGGGTAGCCATGGCCACCCCTGGCCCCCCATCTAGCTCCGCCCCTGTTTAGAAGGTCTGATTTGCTGACATTATTTGTTCATTTTAATTAAGCTGACTGGTTTTATGTCCTTTTTTTATAGCACCAAAACGGAGGAGGACAATAAGCAGCATATCAATAAATTACTAAGGTGTACATAAGAATATTGTATACTCTCGTTTATAGTACCAAGTTGAGGAGTTAATTTGAAGAGGATGCTTGTATAGCTGAACAGGAAATATTAATGAAAAGCCATAAAGGTTTGGTTCACAGAATTTGTATTTACTCAACACATTGAGATTCTCAAAAAGTTACAACTGAGATGACTCTTTAAAGTGGAACCAACTACCAGTTTTAGTCTGTGACACAGACACCCTGTCTACTTTTAACAGTAGGCTTAAAACTTTCCTTTTTGATAAATCCTCCAGAGAGAAAAACAAAACACTGTGGAGGAATGAATGCTCTGGATGTAGAAAGTTGAAGGAAGAATCTGAGGAATACCCGTGAAGAAAATCTGAGTTGATCATTCATGAAGTAGAGCGAGCTGCGCTCAGGTGGAGACAGACGCACTGACTGCCTC